TGTGTGTGTGTGTGTGTGTGTGTGTGTGTGTGTGTGTGTGTGTGTGTATGTGGTGTATGTGTGTGTGTGCTCTCCATGACACACATCTGGAAGTCAGAGGACAACTTTGGGGAGCCAATTCTTGCCCTCTTTCTTGTTTTGAGGATGCAGCTCTTATTTCTTCTGCTTCACTGTGGACTCCAGGCTAGCTCCTGTCCCTTCCTCTCATCTCACCGTTGGAGTTCTGGGATGATAGACACAGGCCACCACACCATGTTTTTACTTGAGTTCCTGGGATCAGTACTCAGGTCATCAGGCTTGCGTGCTGAACACTTTTGCCCACTGAGCCATCTTTCTCAAACCAAATTAAGTCTTTCTGAAATGAGCTAACTTTATCAACCCACATGACTGTGAATGATCCTGAGAAAAATGTCACCAAGGCTTCTGGTACCCCCTTTTTCTTATGACCTACCTCATAAAGAGGGATCTCCTAACCGAGCGCTCACTGATATACAAGATGATAATCTGGGGAAAGGTACACTTAAAAATACCCAAGGACTTCATTTCTTGAGCATGAACTTGGTGGCAGTTAGTGGCCTGAAAACATCAGCTTCCATGGCCTCAGACAGAAGAAACACCAGCTTTCTTGGTCACATCTGCTCCACTTCAAAGGCTGCAGCCACTTACAAGGCCTCCCAGCAGCTAACAGATTCCTGCAGAGATCATTGATTCTTACCGTTTTACTCTTCTGCTTTGGTTTGGTTTTTACAAATATGCATGAGATCCAGGGTTAAAGAAAGCCTGAGAAACTTGTTAACATTTATTATTTCATAACTCTATGCACTTCATAGTTTTGTGTAGTAACACTGGAGAAATGAGGTTGATTCCTTCCTACATTTAGAGTCAGAAGAATGTCTGGATAGATATGAGTGGAAGAAAAGTAGGCCTCTCTCTTATTTTTGGTTTTACTACCTAAACTGTTACTTATAAAAACAAATATTCATCTCATTAGTGAACTTCAAAAAAACTTTTTTGGTGTTTTGTTTTTACACAGGGTTTTACCAAGTAGCCTTGATTGACCTGGAACTTGTGGTGTAGACCAGGCTGGCCTTGGACTCAGAGATCTACCTGCCTCTGTCTCCCAGGAGCTGGGAGCAAGGCATGCGTTACCATCCTGTCATTATAGTAATGCTTTAAGTGTTCAGAAAGACAGGAAATTAAACAACTATGGAACTCTTGACTGACCTTTCCCAAGTGTTCGAGGAAGGATTTTTCAAGTACTGTTTGAACCGGAGTTCAAAGGCCTGCCCTATGGTACTTATGACATCTTGGGCCATTCCACTGCGACACTCCAGTATGTGGCATGCTGTAAGAAGACACATTAAAAATACAGTATCATGAGAACATTATATAAAAACAAAATAGTTCCAGAACATGAATAAATATGAACATGAGTTTTAAAACGTGTTTTAAAAAAAATCAAACTTATACCATCTCTAAAATGGCATAATCAGACTTCATATTCCATACGAATCAAGGAGAAAATATTAAAAATCTACATATCTAAAAACTTAGAAATTTTGAGCTGAGCATGGTGGTACACACCTTTAATACCAGCACTCAGGTGGCAGAGGCAGGTGGATCTCTGTCAGTTCCAGGTCAGTCTGGTCTACAGAGTGATTTCTAAGACAGCCAGGTTACACAGAGAAACTGTTTCAAAAAATGGTATCAAGTCAGATATTTAGGGCTCATGCTTTAGATTGTGTTAATTTTTTTTGCAATTACTTGTAAGTGTGTGTGTGTGTGTGTGTGTTCAAATGTGGGTCAGAGTACAACTTGCTAGAATTAGTTCACTCCTTCCACCATGTGACTCCCTGGAATCAAACTAAGGCTTGGTAAGCAAGTATCCTTACCCACTGAGCCACCAGTCTGGCCTGTAGGACATGTTCTTCAGATGGAACAAGGTAAGTTGTACCACATTGTACAGAGAGGTCATTTACCTGAGGTCTTCTTGTTTGTTCATTTCTAATCTCATACATATGTGGCTCAATTAAAAAACAAAATCAAAATGAGAATGATTGCAAAATAGAACCAAAATTTCTGTAACTTTTTTCCTTTGGGTTAAAAAGAGATAAAACTCAGGAAGGTAGAGGCAGAAGCAGGAAATTCCAGCATACATAGATAAACAGACAACACTGATTTCCTGCGAGAGAGGTAAGAGAATGGAACTAGAAGTACTCTGTGAAGAAGATCCAGAGCCATGATCAAACTCCGATTGTGCCACCATCCTGAAGGTGCAGAGCTCAGAGAAAAGCTTGGCTGACAGTAGTGTGCACAAATGGTGTATGGAAACTTCCTAAATGGGAGAATAGTGATATTTCCAAGACATTTGACAAGATGCTCTGATCTGGCATGGAAAGGTCAGTTTGCTAAGTGCTACTTGTGGGGGCTTGAATAGGAATGCCTGTCCCCCGCGCCCCATGGGCTCAGAAGCTTGAATGAGGTCCCAGGTTGGTGGAATTTTGGGGGAAGGATTAAGAGGTGGGGCCTTGTTGGAGGAGGCGTGTACCTGGGGGTGGGCTTTGAGGTTTCAAAAGCCCTCGCCATTCCCAGTTAGCTGTCTCTGCCTTGTGCTTGTGGATCACAGTGTGAGCTCTCAGCCTACTGCTCAGGCACAGTGCCTGCCTGCTGAACGCCTGCTGAACGCCTGCTGAACGCCTGCTGAACGCCTGCTGAACGCCTGCTGAACGCCTGCTGAACGCCTGCTGAACGCCTGCTGAACGCCTGCTGAATGCCGTGCTCCCCGCCATTACGATCATGGATCACTCTCTGAAACTAAATCCTTATTCTTTTTTACAAGTTGCCTTGGCCGTGGTGTTCTGTCACAGTACTAGAAAAGTAACTATGACCTGAGTCAACGGCCAGACCCTCACTTACGAGGACAACAGGACTGTCTGTCTACTTTAGAGAAAGTCTGGCATTTTTTTTCTTCATACTAGCTTTAAACCTCTGAGGAGCAGGACAAGCAGGCTGGGCACACAGGAAGCACTAAACCTGACCACCACCCTTTGCCACCGGAGAACACTCTGAACACTCTAAAATGCTTGTTTTGTTTTTTGTTTTTTTGTTTTTGTTGTTGTTGTTTTTTTTTTTTTTAATTTCTCCAACTTGAACACCTAGAGGTTTTGGTTTTGTCTGTCCATAGGCAGATTCTCCAAAATAATGTTCTACTTTGCTTCAATTACTCCGTTGCTGGCTTTTTTAAGGGGATGGAACAGAAAGTAAAACAGGGAAAGAGTAAACAGAAAAAAGGAAAAACAACAACAAAAAGGGTGCCTGTCTCTCTCCATGCACATGGCAGGCTGCCCTAGGCCACACCCCACCTCCTCTTAGGAAATGCCCCTATTTTGACAGTGCTACTCTTCAAACTCTCTTTTAGTTTGATCACATAATCACAGGGAAGCAGCATAGAAACCTGACATGAATCACATACGAAATGCCAGAATTCCCGGTCAGGATCCACCCTTCCTACAGCTAGCAGGCAAAGGAAAAAAAAAAAAAACAATACATAAGAAGTACTAATGTAGCCAGGCAGTGGTGGCACACACCTTTAATCCCAGCACTTGGGAGGCAGAGGCAGGTAGACCTCTGAGTTCGAGGCCAGCCTAGGCTATAAAGAGAAACCCTGTCTCAACAAACCAAAAAAAAAAGAAGTCCTAATGTTCCCAAGTGATTCTTGGTGGCATGAAACCAGCCATGGCAGCCTGAGCTCTGCTGTCCACATCTGGAGTCACTGCACACACTCATTTATTTCCCAAGCTGACCGTTCTACCTGTAAGCATCAGTAAGAATTGTGGGAATCTTAGCATTTCCCTTCACTAGGTTCCTAACGGTAAAATACACAAAAGAACGATTATTACTCTTAGTGGGTAGAAGGCCTTTTAACAAGTTTTGTTTAAGTTTCTGAGAAGGTGAGTCCATGACCATCATGGCTAGGAGCACAGCAGCAGTCAGGCAGGCAATGACTCGCTTAGCTTACAGCTTACATCTTGGTCCACAAGCGTCACGAGGCAGAGAGAGCTGACTGAGAGTTGGAATGAGCTTTTTTGAAACCTCAAAGCCCACCCCCAGTGTCATACCCCCTCCTGGAACTCACCATGTACCCCTGACTGGCCTGGAACTCTCTCTGTAGACCAGGCTGGCTTTGAACTGACAGAGATCCACCTGCCTCTGTCTCCTGAGTGCTGATATTAAAGGCTTACACCACCACTCTCAGACTGTTCATTTTTTCATAAAGATCAACGTTTGTCTAGAATTAGATCTTGCAATAAAGGTCAGTGACTCAGATCATCCACCAGATGGTGCTGTGGGACGCGAATGGAGTACATGCCTCCCGAAGCATCGGACTCAAAGAATATATTCACAGCTCACAGACAGTAGTCTACGTATTGTATAAGCATAAATACAAATATAAGTTAGCAGGTTCATTTAGGTTGGTTTTCATTGGCAGGGGCGTTAGTTTTACAATTCTCTTTCAATATTCAGCCCATGTATTTTTCTTATATATAAATAGTCCAGGTAAACCAGGGCCTCTTCTCAGACTAAGTTCAGATACAGTATGAAAACCTCCCTAGCCTGCCACAGTGTTGGACAGCTGAGGACAGGATGGACTTCCTCACACCAGCTACAGGAGAAGGCCGGACTTAACACTGACATTTCTAAGTCACCTTCTCTACAAAGACGGTCTTTCATAAACTGATGAGTTCATCAGAGGGCCCTAGCCAAGACAGGAAAATGTAATACCAGCTTAATCTGGATGGAAACGTTGAAACAGGTATACAGCAGAGGGAGGGTGGGGGCAGGGAGGCACATTGAGGAGTATTAGCAGGAAGTCTGGTCTCCTGTGCTCACTCTACTTCCTGCCGCCGAGCTTTCCTCCTCAGCCTTGCTTGCTATCTGGCTCCTGCCTTTCCGAGGTCACCTCCTCTGTGGGCTCTCTGATGAACTGAATGGTGTTTTCTTTCCTTCAGTCTCCTACTATTCCAGAGTGCGACCATTCTGGTGTCCTCTCCAGGAAAAAGTGCTATTCCTCCTAAGAAGGACCTCTTTCTTACGCCATGTGTCCTCGGACTTCTCCCCTCGACTGAAAGCCTTAGCCCCTTCCGTTGTGGAGTCCTTTGTTGATGACCTTACTCCTCGTCTCTCCTTTCCCTCTTCCGCTTCCCTCTCGCCTCTATCTGAATAGAAAAGGCTGGAGTACTAGGCTTTACTGAGGCTGATGAAGGGAAAGCTGCTTCCTTCTGGTCTGAGGAACGGATGACACGCCTCAGTGATTAGAGCATTGTAAACTACTGAATCCAACTGGGCCCGTCATCTCCTGGTCAGGAGGCCACCCCTTATTGCCCTGGTAGTCTCTCTACTTGTAGCCCCCGGAAGTCTCTCTATCTGTGCGGTTGTTTGCAGATCTCTATTGGCAAGCCTTCTGCTCTTTAGAGTTCTAACTAAAAAGCCTAACCCCACCTCCACCCCAGCTTTCTATCTCTTCACTAAATACCAACCAAAATCTTAGGCATATTTGCCCTGGTACTCTGGGCTTTCTCACTGTTTTCTATGAGGACTCCATAATCCCACTTCTATAGTGGCTTTCACACTCCCATTGCTGACCCTAATTCAAAGGCCTGGTTCCCCTAATCTGCCCTACCTCCTCTCCAAAGCAGCTCCCAGGATTTGTAGCCTATCTGTCCTGTGGTTTTCCCCTCAAACTCTAATAAAATGGACTTTGAATTTCCTTCAGAGTCCATTTTAAGATTATTTTATCATTGACTAAGGACTTATAAAAGGGAATCCCAATCCCCGGTGACACTTGGACAGAACTATTCTCCCTCAGGATAACTCTAATTCACTAAGCAATGTTATGTCACCTTTCCGATTCCATTATTTTTTATTCAGAGATTTAGAACATTTAAAAACATATAAAAATATCCATTGTTAGAATTGAAGGAAATAAAAAGAACCTAAAGAAAGTTAAAATCACCCCAAATTTCACTATGTGAGGATAGTCGCTATTAGTGGTTTCACATAGGCCTTTCCAGTTTTGTTTTGTTTTCTGTGTAAATCTTCCCTCAAAAATTACCTTAGGGTCACAGCAAACAGATTGCTCATATTCTGTCTGTGCACTTAATAGTGTAATGAATACTTTGACTGTGGCATTACTCATTCTTCTAAAACAATCTTGATTGCTGCATCATTACACATGCCATGGACTGGTTTAATTTTTAATGAATGAATACTGGATTAATATTTGCCTCCGACATATAAACATTACATGATAGTGATTTTAATTGTTTGATATTTTGCACATCCTAACTACTTCCTGAGAAATGAAACTCCTGGTTTAAAGGCCGGACTGGGCAACAGAGTTAATGCAAATCTCCACACAGCCTTACAGAATGTTTGGATCTGTGCTCTTGTGGGTTACACTCAAAATTAACCACTTCTCTAAACCACACTTGCCATTTCTCAACATTAGAAGTATAAAAAGGAAACGTGACATCTACAGCTTTTTTATTCTGGATTGCTCATAAAGTTACACTCCTTCTTGGCGTCTTGTAATGTTCTTTTGACAGGAACTTGTGCTCAGGACCTGGAGTTGCTCCACCCTTCACTGGCTAGAGTCCTCAGGAAAAATCATCTTGTTGGTTTTTTTTTTCCCCAGATGAGGTCTTTCTCTATAGCTTCAAATTTGCTATCTCCCTACTTCAGCCCCCTGACTGCAGGAATTGTAGGTGTGTGCCGCTGTGACTGGATTTAAAATGCCCTACTTGCCTTGACTTTAGTGTTTTGTTATCTATGACATACCAGTATTACCTACTTTATATTATATATACATAACATATATATACTTTATGCAGTATCACCTACTATATATATGTATATGTATACATACATATATATACACATACATGACATACCATTATTACCTACTTTGTATTATATATATATACATATATACACAACTTTATACAGTATCACCTATTTTATATTTATATATATATATATATATATATATATATATGACATACTAGTATTACCTACTTTGTATTATATACATATACATATTTGGCATTCCATTATTACCTACTTTATGGACTGCTGTGAAGATGACATGAGTCAATGTGCACAAAGTACACCTGACAATGTCTGCAGTGTGGTGAGCGTGCAATACACACAGCTACTTTTTCTTTGCCTCGTTTCTCTGTTTCACTATTTGTCTTCTTCCTGTTGACAAGAATCTCTACCTTCTTAGCGGCAACTTGACTTACAACTCCCGCTGGATGATGCTAGGCAGCAGGTAGGAACTGGGAGACAGTCACAGAGATTTTGGACTACATACAATATCTCTCCAAGCTCCCCAGGAATAAGCAATTCCCATTCCTTCATCAACACTTCTGTGTAAATGCCCATCAGATACTATTAGTCCACAGATTCGGCCCTTCATCCTCCAGGCAATTTAGATCATTAACGACCTCTGTTTAAAACTAATGAGACCTTATCTGACTTGGAATCTACAATTCCAGACTGATTTCTGCCCTCTGATATCACTGTACAGACACACCTGCAAGAAGCATCATACTGCGGTTGCAGTGCAATGGCAGAAACTGTAAGACTTTCTATAAAGCTCAGAATCTTTACTGGTATCTGGGGACCTACGGGCACTTCCCACTCTCTATAGTTTTTTGGTTTTTTTTTTTACTTTTATTTATTTTTTATTGGATATTTTATTTACATTTCAGATGTTATCCCATTACTCCATTTCCCTCCCCCACCCAGAAACCCACTGTCCCATTCCCCCTCCTTCTGCTTCTATAAGGATGTGCCCCCACCCACCCTCCCACTCCCACTCCCCCACCCTCGAATTCCCCCTCACTGAGGCATCCAGCCTTCAAGGGACCAAGGACCTCCTCTCCCACCCACTCCCGACAAGGCCATCCTCCCTTACATATACAGCTGGAGCCATGGTCTCTCCCTATGTGCTCCCAGGCTGGTGGTTTAGACCCTGGGAGCTCTGGTTGGTTGGTATTGTTGCTCTCCTCATGGGGCCAGAAACCCTTTCAGCTCTTCAGTCTTCTCTCTCACTCCTCCTTTGGGAATCCCATGATCAGTTCAATGGTTAGCTGTGAACATCCTCCTCTGTATATGTCAGGCTCTGCCAGGCCTCTAAGGAAACAGCTATATCAAGCTCCTGTCAGCATGTACTTCCTGGCATCCACATCAGTGTCTGTCTTTCGTGACTGTACATGGGATGGATACCCAGGTGGAGCAGTCTTCAGATGGCTCCTCCTTCAGTTTCTGTCCCACACTTTGTCTCCATATTTGCTCCCATGAGTATTTTGTTACCCCTTCTAAGAAAGACTGAAGCACCGACACTTTGGTCTTCCTTCTTCATGAGCTTCCTGTGGTCTGTGAGTTGCATCTTTGGTATTTCAAGCTTCTGACTTCTCTTTCCCTGCTACTCTTTAGCTTCTGTTCTTTTTCCTTCTCCGAAGCCCTGTCTTTATGGACACCACCTAGTACTAACTCATTGCACTGCACTTCAACCTGTATACATCCTACTGAGCACAGACCCAGTGAAAGCCTTGATTTCTTTGATGTTTGTGTCAACTATCAACTCGACAATGTAGAATGGCCTGGCAGATGACTTCCGGCATGCCTGTAAGGAATCATCTTGATTATATTAACTAAGGTAGGAGGCCTAGCTACTCTGGATGGCACCATTCCCTGGCTGGGATCCAGGACTGTATATATAGAGACAGAAAACTGAGCAGCAAGCAAGCTTTCACCTTTCTCTCTTCCTGATGATGGATATGACATGACTTGATGTTTCAAGTGCCCGTGACCTCGACTTCTCTGCCAGGACAGCCATCCTTAAACAGGGATCCAGAATAAACCCTTAAGCTGCTTTGTTAGGGTATTTGATCATAGCAGCCAGGAGACAAACTAAGATGACAAATGCCAAAGATGACAGAGTGACAGATGCCAACGCAAATTTACACCTGGATTCCAGAGGCTTTTCTTTATCATCTTTTTAACAGGGACTCAGGATCTCAGGCTATAACCCAGACTATGTCCTGGTTATAGCTCAGACTGGCTTCATATTTGTGGTGATTCTCCTTCCACATCTGTATTTTTTATGATAAGAATAACAAATGTTATTCAGAGGTCTTCCCAAATACAGCAAGCGGTTAGTTGGGCAGCTCCATGCTGGAAGCTCTCCCAGTTCTTGGCTCCTTCATCTCCTAGCCACTCCCTCATTATCCATTCAACATTCTGCAGCTCAGTGATTCACTTTCAGTGGAGTATCTTAGAGTGTCTGTCGTCACCTGCTCTCTCCTTTATCCATTCTCAGGACCGAGTCCTTCTAGGCAAGCAATTACCAAGCATCTATATGTGCCATGTTCTACCAACCAATGCTTCTCATAATTTCACTCTGACAATCACACTGCCTCCATGGCTTCAAGTTTCTCTCTGAACGCACCTACTACAGCCTGCCAGGTCAGTCTCTTTAGAACTCTGCTTTGCAAACAGTACCTCTACCCATCTACCCATGGGCAAGACCCTGCTTATTAGGTCTTCCTTATCCTCCCTGGGAGAGCATTTTTCTTCTTCTTCCCTGTGCAGCCTGCGGTTGTGCTTCCCAACATGCCATGCACATTTCCACCTCTGTCCCTTCGATTCCCAAACACTGTTCCATGTTCATTTAACCAAATATTTGGAGGCAAATTCCATCACCAGGGTGGAAGAAGTTCCACAACTCCCAGGTTCTATTTGAGGGCAGCTAGCTTAAACCCATCTCTCAGGGGAATCTGAATGTCTCTGGGTTGGGGATGAGAAACAGTACTAATCACATCTGTCCAGAAAGGTCAAACTTTCTAAGGAACCTCAGGCTTTTGACTTGAAGCACAGCCTACAGATGTCCTTCCTAGGCAACCTTGTTATACGCTAGGATAAGACACTCATTCCGATCATCCACTCAGTCATTCGAGACACAGTCTGAGCCATTTTGAAGGCTCTGAGAAACAACCGTGAGAAGGGTAGGCCCTGCCTTCATGGAGATCTCAGTCCAATAGAGAACATGTGAAAGGGTCAATCAAGTATGTGAAATAAACAGCAACAAAGTGCAGCTTGTTGGTAGGGAGAAAACTACAAGGTCATGATGGGGGTGAGACACACGTGACTAGAGGTAGGCAATGCCATCAGTAGAAGGCCTCTCAAAAGAAGAGACACTGGAGCTGAGACCTAAAGGTGAACAGGGATTGCTTAGCACACACAATCCCCTGAGTTCTAGCCTCAGCACTGCATAAAGCTGGGCATGGTGACACACGCCTATAATCCCACTCACTCAGAAAGTAAAGGCAGGAGGATCAGAAGTTCAAGGTTATCCTCAGCTACATAGTGAGTTTAAGATCAGCCTTGTCCAAAAAGCCACATACTCAAACTCAAAGGAACACTCCAGGCTTTTAAGCAGCAAGTGCATAGGGACACACACACACACACACACACCCCAACACCAATGCCTTATTGAGTTTTGTGTTCAATTTCTTTATCACCCAGGGATATGGGAACCACGCTAACATAACCAAAACAGCTTATTTTTGCATATGTAAATACATACACTTTTTAGGTTGTGAATCTTTCAAGTGCTGAGGTTTAAATACTGCCTGTGAATTTTTCCACTCTTCTCTGCTGGTAGGATTATTTATTTCCAGTTCAAATTTACATAGTTTTCTTAGAGTCCTTCAGTGTCACACTGCAGTGACATTGCACCTTACCTATCATTCAGAAGACGATGAAACGGGCCAGGAGGGGCCCACGGCTTCTCCTTTATCAGCCCCTGTTCCAGGCTGACTCTGTAAGGCCTGGTCAGCTTAACGGGAGTGCTCAAGTCTTCGATGACTGTAACTCCGAAGATAACAGAAAGCAATGCTCATAGACATGGCCTTCCTGTGTGACACCCATTACTGTGTACATTAGAAATAACCACTTATTTTTATGGTTGTTATCTAACAGCTCTCGTGAAAACCCAGAAGTTACTTTTCCATACCTCGTTGGTTGACTGGATCTTTAGCAACGTAGGCAACATAGTCTGTAGTATCCTATAAAAAAAGAGAAGCAATTGCATTTAAAATGAATGAATTGCAACCACTGGAAGATAAGACTTCCTTAGGACCTAACTGAGCCAAAGCCTTCGACATAACTGTTCTCTACAGCACAGGTTCTCAGCCCTTCAATGTTGCAGCCCTTTAATATAGTTCCTCATGTTGTTGGGGACCCCCAACTATAAAACTATTTTCATTGTTACTCCATAACTAATTTCGCTACTGTTATGAGTCATAATGTAAATATTTATGTTGGTCTTAAGAGATCCCTGGAGGGGCAGCAACCCACAGGTTGAGAACTATTCCTCTATGGTATACCCAGTAGAGCTTAACAATTAAATCTGTATTTTTCTGACCCTCGTGGGGAAAGGATAAAGATTGAAAATTCAGAGTCTAACTATATCATTAAGAATAAAAGAGAACACAGCTAAGGAATCCTTCAAATCTGTCTAGGAACTGACTGCCTTGGTTGAAATCTGTACAGAACTCCTCTGCCACAAAGTTAGGGGGAGCTGAGGTGTGGCATCGCCATTGGCCTGTGTCCAAATAGATTCATGTGTACCAGAAAATGAGCTTAGTAGAGACCTGTTGGTGTCTTTGGTTGCCTGTGTATTGCAAGATAGCTTACAGAATAAAACAGAAAAAATATAAATTGTTTCACCCATAGGCAGAGGCTAATCATTTCAAAACAGAGAACCTATGAATAGCTTGACTTCAGAAAGAGATATGTCACTGCCTTTGTGAAAACAAGAGAATGAGGACTTGGAGATTCCAGCATTTATGGAAAACAGTGAGCTGATGAATGGGATGGCTTTAATAATTAAAGGTGCTTTTGCTATCTTAATTCTCAGAGGGGAAAAAACCTACAGTGCCATTTCAGAGTATTAGAATGGTCTCTAGAGGGAAGATGCCATCTACTGGAAGGAAGTAGAAGCTGTGTTGGTAATGCCCTCCAGGGTCGCCACTTAACAACCACAATGAATCATGCAGGAAGCAGGTCTCACGGTCAGCAGAACTTGTCTTAAGTCATTTTTAAAAATAGCACGCACCTAAGTAAATGTCTCAGGCAAATAGAAAGCTGGGTTGGAATAGCTTCTAAATAAGTAAGGCCCTATCTATGAGCATTGCTTTCTGTTATCTTAGGAGTCACAGTCATTGGAGACTTGGGGACTCTAGTTAAGCTGACCAGGCACTATGATGTCAGCCTGGAACAGGGGCTGCTGAAGAAGCTGTGAGGGCTCTCCTGGTCTGTTTCATCATCTTCCAAATGAGCTTGCATTTTCTAATGGTTTTAAAAATTCTGACTGTAAATATCTGGTGGGGGGGGGGGCACTGCAGAACACTTAAAAGGAAAGAACAAATGTCAGGAGAAAATATTTGAAATATCTTTAATTTTTCACAAATCTACAGCATGTTTCGAAACACAGAGAGCATGGGCAGCTATAGAAGGATTTATAATAGATGCCCACGCAGTGAGAATTAAACATGAAGGAGAGCAGACATCACAGGTTAGGAAGAACGGTCCGTATTTTTGAACCATGATGCTGAGTCACATGGGGCTTCCTTTTTTTTTTTTTTTAGATTTATTTATGTATACGAGTGTTCTATTTGTATGGATGCCTGCATGACAGAAGAGGGCATCAGATCCCATTATAGACGGTTGTGAGCCACCATGTGGTTGCTGGGAATTGAACTCAGGACCTCTGGAAGAGCAGCCAGTGGTCTTAACCGCTGAGCCATTTCTCCAGCCCCACATGGGACTTCTACCTCGGCCTCACTTACCCTGTGACTAGGCCAGCTAGCTCCTTAGCTGAAGTACCTCAGTGGGCATCCTAAAGCAAATGCAGAGATAGATTCACTGTGTCCAGCTGACTGAATTATCTCACTCAATTCTGGCAACACAGAGGCAACAGGAATTATCCCTATCTTGCAAAGGAAGACCCCAAATCTTAAAAAAGTTAGTATATCAAGCATTTGACTCTAATGTTTAATACTAGCCTTCACTGTCTTCTTGACAGGAGGGTAAAACTTCACTGGTGGGGGGGAGAGGGGCTAACACCAAGCCAGATCATCATTTAAACCCCAAGCCAGTGGATTTTTCAACTGCAGATCCCAGGGTTTCCACTGATTGTACTGATGTAAAAACCATGTTCCCACAATGGTTGCAGACCTGGTTGCAGATTCTGGCAAGGACAGTGCTTCAGTTTTAAAGCTTCGAAGTATTGTAAGACGGGATGGAAAACTTTACAATTCTGAAGAACAAAACCAAATCCTGTTGGATGTGCAGCAAATGAAGGCTTGTGCACCAGCCCTAACATGACAACAGCCCCGGGAACTCAGACAGGCTAATTTCAGGGCAAACACCAATCATCATTTTTTTAAGTACATCATACACTAATAAGTCTTTTTAAAAGTGTGCCTGAGTCCCTTCACAAGAAATCAAATGGGCTGGAAGGCGAAGAGGAACCATCACTCTTCTCCCATCTAGATTCCTTGTTCTCTCTTTCTCTCTCTCTCTCTCTCTCTCTCTCTCTCTCTCTCTCTCTCTCTCTCTCTCTCTCTCTCTCGGCTCACTGTGCAACACAAGCCATCCTACATGCCCTGTTTGCTAATGGATCAACAATTTACAATCAATGTATGCAGGCCCTCTCTAAGGACTCTGGTCCCAAAATGAAGCAGTGATGTAAAAGTATCTTTTAGTCACACGATGTAATTGTCATCTCTGACTCTTACTGTCTCTGACTGCTAACTTAAGTCTAGTCCTGGAAGCTTCTAGCCTCTGTACAACCTAACCTAGGCCTAGAATGTTTTCAGCCTCTGAGATTTACTGCCGAATAAATTCACTTTTCTTGTCCTTTCTGAACGCTGATTCACTGACTTAACTCAGTTGTTCTGGCTCAAACCCCTGTCCAAGATGACTGATTCAGTCTGGCTTCTCTCAGCTTCTCCTGAATTGCTCTGCTTGACCTCAAACTAACTCTAGCAATCTGTTCTGATCTTCTGGCTCCTTCACACATTCTCTGGCTCATTCTGTCTTCACCTGTGCCTAGCTTCCTTTTCTTTCTTTTTCTTTTTTTTTTTTAATCAGTAAAACTGTCACCTCCTTCTGTTCCTCCCCCTCTCTCTTTTCTGCACTGTTGTTTTTTGGGGTGGTTTTTTTTTTGGTTTTTTTTGGGGGGGGTTGGTTTTTCGAGACAGGGTTTCTCTGTGTAGCCCTGGCTGTCCTGGAACTCACTCTGTAGACCAGGCTGGCCTCGAACTCAGAAATCCGCCTGCCTCTGCCTCCCAAGTGCTGGGATTAAAGGCATGCGCCACCACCGCCCAGCCTGCACTGTTGTTTTAAGTAGCCTCTTTTTCTTCTCTCTTCTTGTGTGAGTTGGGCATATCCTATTGTGTCAAATCTTTTTCTGATCTGTCACTTTATCTGCCACTCAATTAGAAATCACTTTCAAATACATGTGCTTCCTTCTACAAACTAATTTACCTTTATTATTTGGGATTAAAGATGTGTACTAACGGTTTTGTCTGAGTTCCAGCTAAAGGGATGAACAGTGTGTGCTAAGACTGAGCCATACCACAACTAGAATCAGCCTTTTTCAGTAAACAACAATCTCAGGGTTCACAGTGTGATCAAATATCCTACAACACAGTGAGGAATCAAGGAATGGCACTTTGGAAAGTATTCTCAGAGAGAACCCCTGTACGATCTGTGGGAAGTGAGCACTACTCAGCCTCTTGACAGAGAGAACTATGGATCCTCCCTTCATGATTGAGCAGTGTCTCCAAGGTTTACACAAATCTGGACGATCATTATAGATTGGCCTTGGCCTTGGCTGACAACTATGATGGTGAACGGGATTCCCATCTTGTATCAAATCCAACTGATAGTCTGCTTAGTCTGCTGTTGGGGAACATTCTGGAAGAAAAACAGCAGTGCACACAGGACACACAGTTTTCACAATTTTAATGTTAACTGAAAATTTACCAGATGATAACTCAGTGGCTACTAACACCACAGAGGGCTAGCAGTCCTTCTACTAAGCCCAATCTTTTAAAATCCAGATACAGGAAACATTTGCCCAAACCACTGTGGGTGTTTTGTTTTGTTTTGTTTTCTACCTGATACATGAAGCATTTAACAAATTGCAATATCTGGAAAAGACATGAAGTAGTTAATATTCTGCATATGAAAATTCTTAGGACTCACAAAAAGAACTTCTACAAATCTAAACTTACAGGGTCCCCTCCAGAGGCAAATGAAATCGATTGCATTTGATGATTTGCAATAATCTGGAAAACAAAAGCAAATTAAACATTTTAACACTATAATGTGTTTGATTTGTTTCTACTGCTTAGCATCCCTTTAGAAGCTACACTGTCTACATTCTCAAATAAACTCTTTTGTTGTTGTTTTGCTATTGAGATTGAAAGTAAAGCATTGTTTATCCTAAGGATTTACTCTACCATTAAACTATGTATCTACACCTAAATACCCCCAACTAACTCATGGATTTGACATGCCCCTCCTCACCTAGGTAGACATACGATCTAGGTCTAACTATCCAATCAGTGTCTCAGTCACTCTCTCCCTCTCCCTCTCCCTCTCCCTCTCCCTCTCCCTCTCCCTCTCCCTCTCCCTCTCCCTCTCCCTCTCCCTCTCCCTCTCCCTCTCCCTCTCCCTCTCCCTCTC